GGGGGGAGCCGCGCGGCGGCTGCAGCCGCTGGGTCGCGGAGCCCGCCGCGCTCCGGAGGTTCGGCCGGGGGAGGCTCGGCCGGGAGGGGGGTTTTGCGAGGCCGGGAGGGTTTTGCGAGGCCGGGCGGGGGGTGCGAGGGCCGGGGAGGGGCAGGCAATGGGCAGGCAGGGATGGAGACGCTGCCCGGGTGGGAGGGAGCGATGCTCGGGAGACAGGCAGGGCGCCCAGGGGTGCCGGCGGTGCTCGGGGAGGGAGGGCTGCAAATCCCAGCGTGCAGCGGCAGCCAAGGAAGGAGGGATGTGGTGCCGGGGTGCGGGCAGTGCCCGGGGAGGAGGGATGTGGTGCCGGGGTGCGGGCAGTGCCCGGTGCAGCGGGAGGGAGGCTGCCGGCTCTGGCCGCACGAGGGGGCTGCGGGCGCTGCCCGGGCTGAGCGGCAGGGGGGCAGGAGGGCCCCCCGCTGCTGCCGGGTCCCTGGGGAGGTGCTGCCGATCAGCGGCCCTCCCCTGTCCCCCGCAGTGTGCCGGGCACGACACTGTCACCCTTTCTTTCCCCAGCGCCCTGCAGCGCCCGCACCCTCACACACAGGAGCCCCTCGCTGCCCCGGGGAGGGTGGCAGGTTCCAGCAGAGCTTCCCTGCTCCTGACTTCGCTGCACGTCCCTTCCCCTCCCTGCTGCGCTGTAGAGACCCTGGGGACCCCCAGGCTCTGACAGGGCCGGGGTGGGGGGTTCCTGCACCTGCTCTCACAAGGGTAGCAGTGGGGAGATGCTCCCAGCCCCCCGTGGTGAGGGACTGCACCGAGCGGAGACATTTGTGCTGCAGCACTGGGTTGTGGGGACACCCAGCACCTACCTGCGCGGCGGTGCTGGGGGGGAAGCCCACGGTGCATGCCCAGCGAGCGTGCATGGCCACGAAGGGCGGCCAAGGGGCTCCCTGGGTGCCAGGAGCACCGGGGCGAGCGGCCGCCCCCGGCCTGGCTGTCCCTGTGCTCTCCCACAGACCCCATGGCATGACCCAGCATGGGACGCGACAGAGCCCCCGTGGCAGCCAGGGCACGGCCAGGAGCCCCCCACGTTGTCAGAACTCTCATCTGGGAAATTCACTGCCTTGGCTGAGCTTGAGGGGCTGCACGTGCCCCCGGACCCCTAGGGATGGAGTCCGCATCAGGCTGACGGCCACCAGCTCCCAGCTAAAGGTGCCCGGAACTCAGGCTGAGGAACCATTGGAAATTTCCGTGCTGGCCACTTTCTTCCTTCCCTGGGGAAAGGGATGGTGACCTTGGCCCTGAGCAGCAGCCTTGCCATGACTCAGTGCCACGAACAGGGCCGAAATCCATGGCACAAAAAGGGCTTCCAGTCCCGCTTCCCTTGTCCCACATTCTACCCAGCTTGAGATTTGGGCTTATCCCCCTGCAGAGCCACCTGGCATGCGCTGCTAGGGCCGCATCCCGGGGGCAGGTCAGGACCAGGCCTGGATGTGGCCGCTCTTCCATTAGCCCCTAGCACCATTTCCCGGGATGTCCGTGAAGCAGCTCCGAGGTTTCCGGGGAAGGGCAGGGGCGCTGCCCGCACATGAACCCGTCTGCAGAGCCCGGCCTCCGGCCAAGCGCAGTTCTCAGCGCCTTCCTCCGAGATGCTGCTTTGTCTGCGTGTTTGGTGGCGACGTTGAAGGGACGACGGGGAGGGGAGCGGGGCTGGAGCGGGGCCCGTCCCCCCTGCCTGGAGGGATGATCCCAGAGAGGAAGGGATGAGACAGCTGCAGATATAAAACATGTGGAAGAGCCGGGCACAGCGCGGCTGAGGACCTCATTTTGTGCCTTAACCCCCAGAAAAGCCCCTCCTTTGGAGGCAGGAGGGACAAACCTTTCATCTCACCTGCAGTGCAGAACCTGCAACATCTAGTAGTGCTCTTCTCTGCTGGGCTAACGGGGCCCCAGCAGGTCTCACTCGCAGCCAGCCAGGGAGGAGCCGGAGGCAGCAGCTAAACCCCAACCCGGAGCAGGACAGGGCTGCGCACAGTCACTCTGCCCAGCCCTGCCCTGGGCTGTCCTCTCGCTGGTCTCTGAGGATGTGGGCGCTGAGAAGCCCAGGAAGGGTCAGCAGCAGCGAAGCCCTGTGGGACAGAGCAGCCCTCGCCCGTGACAGCCCCGCACATGCTCTCATCATCTCGGGGAGAGCAGCTCACGTCACAGCCCATCTGGGGAGCAGAGGGGACGGAATTGGAGCCTTCCCTCTGCTCCTCAGAGGCTCCTGCTTTGAGACGAGGTGCCTGTGCAACCCGGGAGCAGGGAAGGCAATTCCCGTCCCAGCGTCAACAGAACCACACAGGAGCCGCAGCTTCGTGGAAATGCCTTTATTGACACGGACGCCAGGAAAAGCCTGAAGAGCAACACGACAACGGCACGAACGCGCGAGGAGGGCAGGTCGCCAGCGAGGGAGCTCATGAGCTCCCCGAGACACCCACGTGCCCAAACCAAGGCCAGGATGGGGGGTGACAGGGGAAGGGGGCTCTGCAACCCCCAGGATGAACCACACCGAGCGCTGAGCAGAGCAGATCCCATCCTCTGCTGCCTCCTTGCGCAGCCCTGGCCGTCCCTGTCCTTCTTCCACAGCTCCTACTGTGACCTGCCACCTTCCTGCTTGCTCTGACACTGCGTTTTAGAGCAAGGCTTGGAGGAAA